TTGTTGTTGTTGTTGTTGTTGTTGTTGTTGTTGTTGTTGTTGTTGTTGTTGTTGTTGTTGTTGTTGTTGTTGTTGTTGTTGTTGTTGTTGTTGTTGTTGTTGTTGTTGTTGTTGTTGTTGTTGTTGTTGTTGTTGTTGTTGTTGTTGTTGTTGTTGTTGTTGTTGTTGTTCCCCCCCCACCTCCACCAGATCCGCGACAGGGATGTCGAAAAAGCTGGCGTTGGGGGTGTCTGCCTTGCAATACGCGGGCAGGCACTTGGAGATGCCCACGCAGGAGCAGTTGAACTCACCCACGATCCATTTGTCGATGGTGCACGGGGTCCCAGGGGCGCCCGGGTCCGCGTTGATGAAATCTCCGGTCCACCACAAGGGCAGTGGCTCATTCGGGAGATCCAGGCTCTGCATGAGCGTGGGGATGGAGGTCTTCAGGAAGTCCTTCCAGGGAAGGGCCGCATGCTGCTTGAACCAGTACCGTTTGTGTCCCCCAAAACATGCTAAGGCAATGCGTACCTTCCAGTTTACCAAAACAATGGGGGCATGTCCAAACCACTTCACCCAGACCTCTGAGAGCTGCTTGAACTCTGGGGCATCCGGCGTGTAGAAGGTGTAGACAGAGCCTGTGCCTCCTACAGCGGAGATACCTCCAGCCTTTGGCTTCTTGTGGATGATGCCAGTGCAAGTATCCCCAATCATGTTCATGCGCACTTCACCCTCCACAATCCTTTGCCAAGCACATCAAGCAGCTACGAAAAGAAAACATGTTTAAGCTAAGGGGAAATCTTAATGAGCGAAAACACAAAGCTTGCTGTTGAAGCCAACAAATCCGAGGGCAAAAGCGCTGATCCACTAGCTGACCGCCTGCAGCTTTGCCGCCCTCTAAGTACTTGCCCACACCGATGGTGTCCCACTTCCCCGACTTGGCGGTGCGGCCGTTCACACAGAACTCGACGAACTCTGCAACGGTGTGAGTCTCTGAGTGGTTGTCGCAAGCCTCCATAAGCTCCAACACCTCCTCACACGCGTGAAACACACAAATCGTGCAGTACCTCTTCTTCCGTCTCTGAGTCTATAGGTTTGCTTGAAAGAAAATGACATTGGAAACCATGTGTTCCTCATCAGAGCAAAGGCGATCTCCAAAGTTCTTGCAGTAGTTGCCGGACTTCAGCTTGATGATCCAAATGCCCTCACCGCTGGACCCGCGATTCTGCTTGATGACCCGAGGCTGGAAGGCCATGGTCTTCTTGAAGCCGGCTGCAAACTCCTCAGGGCTGTAGTAGGCCAAGGTGTCAGGCAAGCCGATGGAGAGGTTTGCAATCTTGCACAAGGCGTCCTTCGCACCCATGTTGGTCATGACATCTGGGGAAGGCCACACCTGTTTGCCCTTCTTTTGCAAGGCTCGCATCGCATCATCAAACTTGATCTGATCTCCTCCCGCTGCATTGATCTGACCAGGGTTGCAGCGCACAATCACGGCGTCAAATTGATCTAGGACCTTGAAGAAGGCATCGTGCTCCTCAGGCACGTAATGCAGCAATTGGCAGCTCCTGACTTGGAGAACTGGCCAAGAACGCGTCAATACTTTGAGCCTTGAGGCGGGTCTCCTCCAAAAAATGAGAAAGGTAAAGCAAAATCAGCAAGCAAAGGCTCATTTGTGATGCAATCATTCCGTTGGCAATCGGGATTGAATCATAGCGATGGCCACTGGCGCTCTTGTCAGAGCCACCAAAAGGCTGGTTGGTCACATAGATCTGCACCAAAGCTGTCTTGTACTTGGGGTTCAAGGGTTGTGGCAGCAGCCCAACATCATCCGTCTTCGCCACCTTGGTGAGTCCTGGCGCTGGGGACAACCTGTCCGGATTCCTGCTTCGCGTTCGCGCTGAGGCGCGACAGCCAAGCTTACGACGCAAAAGCATTGCTGATATGGGCTTCACAGCAAATCCAGCTGCCACTTTCATGCGGTCAATGTACTTACATACGCTTCTAGGTACGTGTCAACATAGGGGATCTCCAAAAATGGTTTTCGGCATTCCTCTTGGCTGAAGCTAACAAAGGGTAGCCTCGAAAAGGCCCCACGCCTATGGTGTGTCCACTTGCCGCAAATTGTGCCTGACACGTCCACCAGCGTGGCAGCCGTCTGGCACGAGCTGGGCTTGGCCCAAACTGCTGCACCCGCCAAGGCAGTTGTGCCTGCCAGGGTTGGGCCTCTGTGAATAAACCCCAAGGGAGAAACCCCCCTTGGGTTGGTTGGGTGGTTGGTTGCTTGCTTGCTTGCTTGATTGCTTGCTTGCTTGCTTGCTTGCTTGCTTGCTTGCTTGCTTGCTTGCTTGCTTGCTTGCTTGCTTGCTTGCTTGCTTGCTTGCTTGCTTGCTTGCTTGCTTGCTTGCTTGCTTGCTTGCTTGCTTGCTTGCTTGCTTGCTTGCTTGCTTGCTTGCTTGCTTGCTTGCTTGCTTGCTTGCTTGCTTGCTTGCTTGCTTGCTTGCTTGCTTGCTTGCTTGTTTGCTGGTTGGTTGGTTTGTTGGCTGGCTGGCTGGCTGGCCTGGCTGGCTGGTTGCTCGGTTGGTTGGGGGTAGGTGGGTGGTTGGTTGGGGGTAGGTGGGTGGCTAGTTGGGTGGGGTGGGGTGGGGTGGGTTGAGTTGGGTTGGGTTGTTGGTTGGTTGGTTGGTTGGTAGGTTGGTTGGTAGGTTGCCCTGGAACACCTGTTAGCTTCCCTTTAAAGCAGGGCTCTGGGAATCTGCTAACAGCCTGTTTTCCTTCAAATTAGAGCAGGGCTTTGAAAATGAGGTAATTCATGCCGGAGAAATGGTCACTTAAGGTCCGTCCTTCCATTGGTGGTACCACAAGTCGTGGGCAATTCCCACAAGTCGTGCGTTACGAAGAACCAGGCCTGAATGTTGAACTAAGGGCCTACCTCTCCCCTTAAGCAACTAACCCCGTAATTTCGGCCCCTAAAGAGCGTTTTTTGTCCACTTGGATTCACAATCTGGCTGGGCATGGGACTTGATCAATATCCCTGGCCCCAACATGACCATGGGTGTCTTTTCCCATTTAGTGGTGAAAGTATTTTTTTGTGTTTCCCTGATGGTCATCCCACATATCACGGACCTTTGGATCTCCCTTTCTGGTTTCCAATGCAAGGTTCGATTGCTTCAACCAGGGTTGGGCCAGTCCCGACGATTCAACGGCTATTGTTTAAACCACCTTGTGTGGCTTCCCCTTTAAAGGCGACAAGGATCAGGTTGTTGAAACATGTTGAACATGTTGTTGCCACCTAGCTGGTTGCTCTACAAAGAACTGCCTTTTCAGTATTTGTGACACCACCCAACAAATGGGACGGGTTCATACAACAAACAACACGGGTACAGCGTGGAGGCTTCAACAAAACAGGTCGCACCCCACTTTCCTGCGACCCTACCGCCATCAAAAACACCCTCCAACACACCAACCTTAAGGGTGGAAGAAGAAAAAAAACGGACTCATCAACCCCGGTCGATTTTGACGGACAGGGGGTTTTGTCCCCATAGGTGTCCTTTTTGGGAAAATAGATAGGTTTCCCCGGTAGTTGATCGAACCACCAGGGAAACCAGGAATCGCCCAACCTATCTTTCAACCAAAACAACCAAAGAGGACACCTATGCCCTTGTTGGTGTGGGTTTTAAATGGACACCAAGGCAAACACCTAAGAGGCCTATGTTTGTCCCCCTTTGGGGTCTACCACTTTTGGAGGCAACACCTAAGAGGCGCGCCTGCCGCCGCCGCGGCCGCCAGCGCCGGGCGCTGGGACGCGCGGCGCACGCTGGCGCGAAAAGCTCGGGACGCGGCGCGGAACGCCATGGCCGGAACGACGGGGATCTGAGCACCAGAAACGGCTGCGGCCTCAGCTGTGGGGCTCTTGGCCCACGAAAAAAAAGCCCAAAACTCTGCAACTTCCATTTGCATTCTTTCCAGGCATCCTTCTTTCCAGAAACCACCCAAAACCCTGGAGAAACAGCTGGTTTTTGAGAAGAACGATGGTTGAAAAGATTGGGGAATCAACCCCTAGAAAAACAAGTCTGAGGTCCTGGGAAAAGAATAACAGAGACCTTCTTGAACAAAGATCAGGGATGCGGAGCCTAGCGCCCGGAATCTGGTGGTCCAAACGTGGATGCGGCACATGACTTCTCAAAATAGGGCGCCGGACATGGCTGTTGTCCATTTGTTTCCATTTACATACCAACCATGGCAGGTGAGGTCACAAGGGAAAAGCTATTTCGGGCCCGAGCGCCTTCCTTTTTGCCCCAGGCATGACGACCACGTCAAAATTCCCATGCTGTTTCCCTGAAAGGCCGGAAGCATCCGGATCAACTCCTTTTTTCTCCAAGGGCCACATCCCTGGCCAACCCCACAAAAAATCAGCGGCTACACTTTCCACTGAGCTCCACCCAAGCTCACAGTCAACAAGCCTTCAGCCTCAATCAGCTCAATCATACCTCGCAAAAGCACAGCTGAAAGAGGGTCCCTGCCTTTCAAGGGGGTCCCTTTCAGGTTCCATGTTTGCCTTTTGGAAGGGTATTTCTGCGCTATAAAGGCCTGAAAGTGGTTTCCACGTTGCCTCATTGAACCTTAATCTTCCATGGTTCCCTGATTGCCCCCATTGAAGATCCTGCCAAAGGTGCAACTCATTTTGAATTGTCCTTTTCAAAGCTACTGCTATCATTTGCTCAAAGTCACCTCCAAAGTGGGAGACCAAAGGGAAACAACCCCATTCTTTGACTTTGATAGCCCCATGACCCCAGAGGCAATGAGTGGGGACCCGTGCGGTTGGGGCTACTTGGATGTCCAACGTTACGTAAGTAGGTTGCAACCACGCTTACTGGGGAAACTGGGCTTGATCCTGATAACCAACTTAACTGGGGTTGGTCCTCTTTCGGCAAAAACCCCTCTAACTCAAACCCCTCTTTTCCGGGTATAACCCAGCTTAAACACCCCCAGTCGTCGGAGCCGAGTTGGCACCCGACTCGGGCCTCTGCAAGTCCAGCCGCCGCTGGCGCTCCTGCTCCAGCTTCTCCTGCCGCTTCCGCTCCTCCTCTGCCTCGCGGAAAACTCGCGACGAGCGCGACGGTTCTCGCGGGCTCTCGGGTGGGGGGCCAGGGATTTCAGGAGTTCGCCGCAAGAAGTTGATCAAGGATCTTCCAGAGACGACCCCCAAACAAAAAAGGTGCCAAGGTTTAGAGGCCAAGGAAGCGGAGCGCTGAGTCCCAAGTCGCAAGCCCACGAACCGCGCGGATGGCTCAAACTGGCCTCAGGGATTTACTCTCCAAGTCAGTCAGCCAAGTAGGCCCTACTAAGAAAGGAGCCTGGCTTCTCGTCTTAAGCCCATGTCGAAAGCAAGAAATTAGGGGCCTGGTGTTGGCGCCGGCTTCAACCTGGCAGATTGGAACAGCAAAGAACGCCGTTCAGTAGAGTCACGATGATTACAGAACTCATAAGATGTGTTTTCAATGAGCAAAAACGGTACCATCTCCCCCTCTCCCTCCGACCCCCCTGTAGCGCAAACAGGGCTAAAGGATGATACTGATACATTCCCAAGCAGTCAGAATTACAAGGCGCGGAGACTGATTCTGATGTCAGCTATTCTCTGTGAGAATGTGGTTAAGCCACTACATTGCTGTAAGGGTCCATCGTGTACAATTCATTTAACACACACCCCCCGCACCGAGCTTGGTCCCAACGCATACCTAAGCCAACCACAGGTTTTGAAAATCAGACGAGTTTTCTCGTTCCTTGCTTGCAACATTTAGAGCATCCAGCATAGCCTAGCCGTTTGGCTAGGCTATTTTCCTCAAATCCCCGCAACGCAATGGAGCTCTACCAGACTGCAAGCTGAGTCGCGAATGCCAAAACCGGCATGTGGCCTTAATAGTTTCTCTGCAACAGATTCATGGGAATTCCAATCAGTGTCTTGGTAGACTTGAACTCCACTCAGGTGATCGTCGCCAAGCCATGGCGAATCACGCTGCAAACTCCAGTTGTACGGTTTCCCGCCCAACGCTTCAAATGCCCAGCAGTACCCTTCCCGCGAATAACATGGAACCTGACGTTCGGGACCCAGTCCCTTTAAAGAAAAATGGTCCAAACCAGGACCGATCCCCCGAACGTCAGGTTCCATGTGAAAAGCCTGGGAGGGTATCAGAAGCAAAACAAAACAAAAATCTCGAAGCCTACGCAAAGCGGCTCCAAACCAGGCAGATCCGTGGTGGAAGGCTGTCAACCCGTGGTGGACAGCAATCTGGAACCAAAGCGCTGTGAGTTACCGACAAGTTGTTCCCCAAAAGGACAGGATCCCTTGGTGCCACTGCGTTTTCCTCTTTTTGGGTGGGTTTGCTTGCCTATGAATCACTATTGGATCTGGGACTTGGTGATCTGATTTTAAAGGTCCCATGCAACTCACAAAGCCCACCTGCCGCTCGGACTCCTTCTGAGCAATCATCGCCTGACGGCACACACGGTCTACCGCTTTCCGCACTCTCTTCACCTATATCATATCATATCATATCATCTCACGTCATAGCATGGCATACATGTCCCCCCTGTTTCTTCTGGGAAAGGCATCCTGGATCGGCATTGAGAGGGTACTAGAAAGTTGTGACGAAAGCTATCCACATGAGTTCATTGACCGCTGAGGCCTGCCGCCGCAGCCCAACAGCGACCGTCAATTTGTAGGCGTTTGAAAGTCTTTTGTTTGTGATCAAAGTCTACCATTCGGAAACCACCCATTTTGGAGGCCGTCAGGGTTCCAACAAAAGTCGTTTCCACGGTTTCTCCGCTTCTCCCGCCTTGGCTTGCAGCTTCTCCCGCTTCTTCTCCTCGATGGCGTTCCGCCGCTCCTCTTCCGCCCTCGGCCCACGGAACGTGTTGGAGCTGGAGGTCCGGGTGCACTCAGTCCATCAAATATCTTGGGAGAACGGAAGGCGTGTGGAGGCGCCGTAGGCACGGGAGGGAAGTGCTTCCATTCCCAGTGTGGAGGAAATTCCACGTGGAAAAAGGATAGAAACAAATACGAACGCATCTGGACAGTTGCAGAGCTCCTTAAATCTAAGGTTCCCCTCTACATGAGGCAGCCCCCTATTCGACCAGGAAGGTTATTTCTCTTCAGTCACTTCGCCGATCTCAGGAAATCGCCTCCAACTGGTGGTCAAATCCCCCCCCAAAGAAAAAAACAAGAGACATGAGCGCCTCTCAAGCTGCAACCACTTTCTGTGTCCCGCATCTGAAGTTCGAAAACCCAGCAGCTGAGCCTGAGCGCGCCTATCCCGGCAGATCCGAAAAACCTTCATGGTGCAGTTCTATGCTCGCAAAGGCTCAGCATCCGAACAGGAGGGGGGTCCTAGCATAGGGAACACCCTTGGTGTAAAATACGGAACCCCGTTTTATGGTGTAGCATAGGAAACCTTCCTTCCATTTAGAATGGCTCTTCTATTCTGTACAAGCAGGAACCTTTTGCTATTGAATAAGGAGCCTCCTGCGCCTTGGAAACGCTTCGCATTCGCCGTCTGAGCACCACATCCTTTGGGCATGACTCAAAATCAAAAAATGCGAGAGCCCCCAGAACCAAGTTGGTTTCGTTTAGCCACCCTCACTTCGTCGTTGATCCCTGAAAGCCTTCAGCTCTCCAAACTCAAGCGGGCTTGTCTCACGATTGGAATCGGACCCCTCAAAAGAAATGAGCACTTGGTGTCCTTTCGTTTGGTTTCCCTGCAAAAGCCACCAAACCAAAGGTGGTACTCTTCGACAACAACACAACCATTTGGTACCCTTCGACCCCTCAAAATGACCATTTGCTGTCCTTTCGGTTTTCAACCAAAAACAGGTGGTACCCTTCGCCTCAAAAAAAAACAAAAACACCCAAGTCGTTCGAAGTCTCCGGTCTGAGCTCGCCGCTTGCGGCGCGCCTCCTTCTCGTCCCGCAGCTTCCTGAAGCCGCGACACACGGCGCTGCTGGGGAGGCCGGGGATGGGGGCGAGATGGGATGCGAAGCCATGGAGTTGTTGAGTCAAAATATGGCCATGGGTCAAAAGCCCGGTTAGCCCCCAGTGAACATCCCAATCCCCACTAAAATAGACTAAAATGGGTGGTGAATTCACCTACCCCAAAATGGGATCCTATTGGTTTTGACCAGCCATATGGCAAAATTTGTGGACCCCTCTCTTCAGCTTAAGGTTCCCTGATTCCATCAATGGAAGTGGCCGATTCGATCGGGATTTGGAAGGCCATCTCACAAAAGCCTCCAGTCTTTCTATACTTGTTTCCTCAACAAGGCATTTGCCACTGGAAAATCCACCTACAAGTAGGACTTGGCCGTTGAAGCACCAACCCAAAGCAGTGTTTCCTAATTCCAGAAAATGGTGCAAAAATAGGCCTTGGGGTCTTTGGAGGGCATCATTTATGGAGACTCACACTCACAAACACCAGTTGCCCAGTTTGGAACTGGAAACATAAGGTGATCACTGATCACCTTTTCGAGCTTGACAAGGAGAAAGAAGGGAAACCAAAAGTCTTTTTCCAGGTCGATTCAGCTGAAACCCACCCATCTGGGGTTTCGTCCTCGATATGGCTGCGTTTCTCTTTTGAGGCGACATGCCAATGGCTGCGTTTCGCGTTTGATTCGGGCCTCTGATGCTCCTGCTGCTCCCGTCGCCGCTGCTCCTCGGGAAAGAGGTGTTCGTTGGAACATGGTGGCTCGTCTGCTTTTGAGGCTCGGTACCCCCGTCTTGGCAGGCAAAGGGAAACCAAAAGGGCAGGATGTTGAGATTTTGGAGGGGTCCGAGTCCTACAGAACGAACGCACGTAGAGATTCTTACGACACGTCTTGGGGAGTTGACTTTACCTCCAACTAACAGAAGGCACCAAGAAGGGGCTCGACCTGGATCAGTTGAACCCTCGACTCTCTGATAACCTTCACGTGAGACCCGAATCGGTTTTGCATGCGTGTCATGACTGAGAGATGCAAATGGAAGGTGTTTATCGCTGACTTCCGGGTCTTTGGGTTCAAGCATTGCCTCAAAGGCCCTGGCTTCGCTCGCGACCAGAAAATAGAAAACCTTCACCCAGAAAATCTCGTGACCAGCTTCGCCCCAACGTCCGCCTGCCCTTTTTGCGACCAGACCTACCGCGACTTTGTGGCCTGCCGAAAGCGAGAGGCGAAAGAGAAGCCGATGCGTCTCTTTGACTAGACCCATGAGTCAAATCAAAACCTGGCACAGGACTCTAGCCTAAAAAGGAAGAAAAAAACTTAGAGGCTGGAGCTATCCCTTGGCTACCTTCCCTGGCTTTGTGACTCGACTTGCCGGTGCAGGCAGGGAATGAGAAATGGAATGACCCTGTAAACAATCCAACTGGTGGTTTCCTTTGAGGGAATCCCCAAAACCACCACCCGGACTTGAAAAGTGATTCCCTACCTATCGCACCAGCAAGTTGTGACTTGGTCTCTCACCGGCCAAAACGGCCTCGAAACAACACTAGGTCCTCCAGTATAGAGGTTAGAATAAGGGTACCCTTTTTTTTCTGTAGTCTATTTTAGTAGGGGAATCCTCCCCCATAAAAGGGTACACGACCTAGAACAGGAAAAAGGGCACGCAACCGCAGGGCTACGTTACACGCACCCGAGTCCTCCTCCTTGCGCATGGTCTCGGCTTCCTGGCAGGGCACGGGAACGTCTTGTCTTTTTTACCCAATTTTTTGAGGCGGGGCTGGCAAGGGAACCCAAAGGGACCAAAGCCCCATCTTGGGGGAGAGGAGGGAAGGGGGGGAAGACCCCAGAGAAAAAAACACACACACACACACACAAATGAATGTGTTTGATATGTTTTCGCGCCGAAATTATTTCCGTTCTGGCTGAAGACGCAGGAAGCACAGTGTCGTTGTATGTCACGTTGTTCTGATCTGTACTTGCTTGATTGTGAGTTCCTGGTTTTGGTTTTTCGGGCTTGGGAATGGGCGTTACCCCAAGTGGAGGATCTTTTGGAAATGGGACGTCTACTACGCGGCTACTACTCCGACTAATCCAGTTGAAACTCGCGTTAAACCTGAATTGAACCCACGTTCGACCGCAGGTTCAACCCACCTTTGAACCCAAGTTCGAAAAAAATGAACCCACGTTTGAAACAGGTTCAAACCACCATTTTGAACGCAGGTCGATCTCAGGTTCAACTTGAGTTCAACTCACGTCACGTTGCAGGGGAACCCAAGTTCAAATCCAGTCAATCCTGGGCTCAAACAGATTTTCTTAAAAAAAGAGGAACCTGGATTCGAGCCCAAGTTGGAACCAAGATTCAACCAGGTTTCGAACCTGGCCTACCTGCAACATCCACCCCACTCCCCCCCCCAAAAAAAAAAAACAACATTCCGTCGCCTTCTTCCGCTGCTCCTCCTCCTGCTGCCTCACCTTCTCCGCGTGCTCGCGGCGGATGGCCTGCGCGTCCTTCCGGAAGATGTGCATGCTCTTGGTCTGCAGGTACTTGCCCAACCTGGCTTGGAGCGAAATCGGTAGGGAATGTTCTAGTGGGTTGATGTCCTATTCTTTTCAACCATCGTTCTTTTCAGAAACCAGCCGTTTTCCCTGGGATTCCGGAGGTTTTCTAGAAAGAAGGATCCCTGGAAAGAATGGGGAAGGTACCAATAGAAATGTGGTTGAACGAACCCAGGCTTTGGTCCCGGGGGGGAAACCGCCAGTGGGATGGTGTATGCGGGTCATTCCCTCATCCGTAAGTCTGCAACCTGAAGTGTACGCTGACGGGAGGCGTGCGGAAAGCAAAGAACTCTATTGAAAAGGCAACCAGAAACAAAGACAAAAAAAAATGGCTACCATGAGGAAAAGAAAGGGGAACCAAAGGAAACCAAGCAGAACACCCACCATTGAAAGAAGGATGAGGTAAATCCCACTCAAAACCTGCAAAGGCGGGTCTTGCATCTAGGATGCCAAATCTGGAAACACACTACAAAAGGTCTAGTTGATTCATAGGCTGGTGTCCCAGTTCAGATTCACGGGAAATATGGTCTACTCCAGGCTGATTTATTCGTCGATATACCTAGTTGATATTTATATGACACTTGGACCCGGGCATTTCCTCGGAGCGATATGCGCGCAAGAAGCCAAACCGGGTCTCCAAAAAAACGACTTACCCAAAGCCACACACAGAATCACAACCATCTCCGGTTCAACTAAAGTATCCAAACTTCGTTTTTTGGCCGAAGGGTTGAAAAAAGAAAGTCCACCCCTAACACGAATGCGAGTTACGTGTGCCTCAGCAGCTTGTGCCGCTTCTCCTGCTCCTCCTTCTGCCGCCTCAGCTCCTCTTCCTTCTCCAGGTCCCGTGCGTCTCGCTCCTGGTTCGACATGACACGCGCGGTTCTGGGAGTCGATCCAAGCGCACAACTGGTCATGGATCCTTCAGTTGGAAATTGCTCGCCTGCAAATCCACTCCAGAGCTTCGTGACCCCGACCAAACCCCAAGACAAAGGGGTCTCTGACCACGAACCCCTGGGAGCCACTCGTTGACGCGCGCTTGCCTCATAAGGAGAAGCAACCCGAATAGACCCCGCTTGCCTCATTGGCTGCCCCAGCTTGGAATCCCAGATGTGATGTGACCGAACCTCCCTGGTAAAGGAATGCCAAAAGGAGGTCGTTGGAACCACGGTTCAAACATCTTAGGGACTAGCCCAGCCCTGCCTGATACCTTTTTGTGGGGTCGAAACTGCAAAAAGGAAGCGCCGTGTGGAGGCAAGAGGCGCCTTCAGGTCAAACAAGCCACCCTGAGGACAGGTGGTCGAATGAGAAAAAAATCTGACTGTGACGCTCTTGTTGTTCCCAATCCCTTGTTCATGTTCAGCCCAATCTTTTGGATGTTACTTGTTGCAGGGATACGCTCATCATTCCTGATTTGGCTGAGGTGTATCAAGTGAGCATGGGAGAAAGCAAAAGCAAAGGAATTGTAGAGAGAGAGAGAGAGAGAGAGAGTGCGAGAGAGCGAGATCCGGTTCGGCCATTTTTCAAGCTCTCTTGATGGGGATTTTTCATGGGTGCTAACTTACTCCCGGGTAAAGCTGCCCACATGGATCTCATCATGAAAAACGGACAACTGCTGACAGGGTGCGGCTCAAAATTAAACAGGAGGGGCTACGCAGGTTTTGGTCCATGTTTCCACTTACCAGGGTTCCATTTTGGAATTCCGTTTTTTTTTGAGCCACGGCCAAAAATCACATTGGGTGTGTGTGTGTGTGTGTGTCTGTCTTGGTTTGAGGCTCGTACCCTGTCTGGTTTGTTTCGAAGGGAAACCAAAAGGAAGCCGTTGCCGTTTTGCGGGTCCGATTCCTAACAAAGGGATGGACGAGCCACGCATTTCTGACTTCGGCGCGGTTCAACCAGGCAATAAAGCAGAGGTCTCCGAGACGGGAAAGCTGGGGGTCAGCTCTGCTTGGCACGAATGAAACCTTAGAGGGGGGTCCCTACATTTCTCTTCAGGAAATAGCCACCTTCGGTCCAAAACAAATGATTTTGAGTGACGGTTGGGATCTTTCGTGCACGTTTTGGCAAGCCGCAACCTGCAATGTGCCCCCAATGGACTCCCACTGCACCCCCTTTCTCTGCCTTGCCACCTTTTTGTAGGTCTTCGCAGTATGTAGCAATTGAACAACTAAGAAAGCAACCAAAAACAAAAAAGACAAAACGTCTAAAACAAAAAAAAGAGGCCAACCCCCTGAGTGATTTACGCGTACTCCTCAAGAATACCCACCACTCAGAAGGTTGTTGTTCTTTCCGCTACAATGTGTTTGTCGGTTTATTTGTTGGTTTTTTCCTTTAAAAAACAAGAAAGAAAGAAAGAAAGAAAGAAAGAAAGAAAGAAAGAAAGAAAGAAAGAAAGAAAGAAACAAAGAAACAAAGAAACAAAGAAAGACAACAAACATTTAAAGGAAAACATGTAGAAACCAAAAAACAAAAACAAAAAACGACCAACAAGCAACCAAAAACAGGAAGCCGAAAACAGATCGTTCACTGGTCACATCTCCCGTCCGCGCCTCTTCGCCGCTGGAAGCGGTGGTGGGATCCTCCCGCCGGGCCTGCGGGGCGTCCTCGCGCGGCGTTTTTTTGGCGGAGGCGCCCCAAAAACACCACGGGGAACCGCCCAATTTTTCGGGAGAATAGGAAAAAAACTCCTTGGAGAAAACCGAGGAAAAAACCCACCGCATTGGAGAAAAAGACCCAACCTCCTCGGAGAATACTTGGAGAAAACCACAGGAGGAGCACTGGTATTTGCCCGCATGGGAGTCCGCCCCTGGCAAAAAAACAACAGACACAAGAACAAAGAGCGACATTCTTGTGGGCTCCATGTCAGTTTCAGGCTTCTTGCGGGAATGCCTTAAAACACGTTGAGATCTTTTGCACTGGCGGTACCCATGGCGATTCAGAACAGAATTTGGCCAGGTCTGTTTGGAGCGGTTAGCTCACCTCGCCCACCCGGAGGGCGTCTTCTGCTTCCTTTGGGAGAGGGGGGACACCTTTGGTTGGGAGTGGGTTACTGTGCACCGGAACGTGTTTGTACACCACATATAGTATTTCTACTACAGATATTAAAATGTTAGCCATGGTTCCTCTCAAAATTGATTCTCTTCAAAGGTGTCATATGAGCTTGCCTTACCTCGCATTTTGTCTGCAGGCTTGCCAAGGTGCTTGTAAACAAAATCGAAGGATCAGCAAGCCTTCAGCTGGATGTCCGAAGATGGTTTTTGAAGAGGCTAACCGCTTCCCCGACGGCAATGTGGAAGCAGTATGTTTGCAGGTTTTAAGGACATGAGCGCACAGTGGTGTGGACATTCACAACCGAACATGTGGCTGTGGGTCAATAATCCGCCGACCCCATGCCTGGTCCAGAATGGACCATGCTTTTGGCATGGGGGCGGTGCGTTCTGTGGGCTAAAACCTGCAGTCCCCTGGTGGTTTTATTTTGACCATACCCATGTGATGCCCATATGGATCTTGCCCATGACTACTGTTTTGGAGGGCACATCCTGCCCCTCAAATCAGGGCTGGGCCAATCGCTTGATTGAACATGTACCAATAGTTTGTGAATGGAGACTAGACGTGTAACACGTCTTGTCCGACCCTGTCAAAAAAATGAGAATCCTGGATTCATCAACCCCTGGTTGATCGGGGGGTGTCTCCTTTGAGTGGTTGAAGTCTCAGACCGGAACACCGGGTTGATTCATTCAGGCCACTTTTAGAGACCCACGAATTGATGAATCATCTCTTGAATTCACACCTTGGCCTAAGAACCCGGGCTGCACATTGCCCAACCAACCCAACCCAACCCAACCCAACCCAACCCAACCCAACCCAACCCAACCCAACCCAACCCACAGCCAGCAACCAACCCATGCCCCCACCCCCACCCGGACGCATCGCCGCTTGGCCGGTCCACTCCCCCCCCGCCTGGGTCTCCTGGGGTGCCATGGGCTTGCCGTCCACGGCGGTGACCCAGGTCCACGGCACGTGCTGGACAATCCCGAAGTCGAAGAGGACGTCCAGCCCCGAGACGAAGGCCTCCTGAGAGTGACTGGCTGGCTGGCTGGCTGGCTGCCTGGCTGCCTGCCTGCCTGCCTGGCTGCCTGCCTGCCTGCCTGCCTGCCTGCCTGCCTGCCTGGCTGCCTGGGGGTGGGTGGGTGTGGGTGGGTGGGTGGGTGGGTGGGTGTGGGTGGGTGGGTGGGTGGGTGGGTGGGTGTGGGTGGGTGGGTGTGGTGGGTGGGTGTGGGTGGGTGGGTGGGTGTGGGTGGGTGGGTGGGTGTGGGTGGGTGGGTGGGTGTGGGTGGGTGGGTGGGGTGTGGGTGGGTGGGTGGTGTGGGTGGGTGGTGGTGTGGGTGGGTGTGGGTGGGTGGGTGGGTGTGGGTGGGTGGGTGGGTGTGGGTGGGTGGGTGGGTGGGTGTGGGTGGGTGTGGATGGGTGTGGGTGGGTGTGGATGGGTGTGGGTGGGT